GAAACATATTAAATGATTTGAAGACATGGGTCTTTCTCCAAAATATTGGCTGTAAGAAAGAAAAATGCTAGGAGCATCCTTAAGATCCAGGAATAGTGACAAGGAGATAGGCACTGGCAAACTTAGAAAATAGGTTTCACGTCATATCTCAGTTACTACAACAGTTTGTAGTTAAATAATAAAATCTACTGAAAATATAGCTTTCAATTCAATGTGTGGTCAAGCTTATTGTCTTAAGGAATTAAAATTGTAGACATGATGAAGAGGCTTCTTAGCTCAAAATCTGTTCCACGAGGCTAGTGACTCCGTGGGTAGAACATTTCCCTGGAAACATGAGCACCTGATTCCCAGAACCCATACAAAATCAGAGAAAGCCCAGAGCTTTTGCATCTGTACTACCAGCACTCCCAAACCAGAATAAGGGGGAGGAGACAAGAACCTCTCCCAAGTCCTGTGGGACTCCTAACCTGGCATATGCGAAGGTGGATAATAAAGAGAAGTTATTCTCGAGCAAGGTAGAAGGTGAAGTTGTCTCCACGCATGTGTCTTGACACGGACATAAATGCACATACATACTCATAGGCACACCATGTATACACACGGGGGTGGGGATTTTAAAAAGACAAAATTGTCTCAGTCAGTGTTTTTGATAGTTTTCAAGTGTATCAAAGACAAAATAAAACGTATGAAGATTCTCTTCATGCACAGCTACAGTTTCAGTGTTTGCATCCATAATGGCCTGTCTTCTACTAACAGGTCCACTCACTAGTGCCCTAGCGGAGCAAGGGAGAAATCATGAAGAAATGTAGACTTCAGTAAATGCATCCTGGTTAAATTAAAAAAAAAAAATACAGTAAGAAACTGTGGACTTTCTAGATATTTCTAAGTCTTGAGCCCATAAATTCAAGCAGGATATCTGACAACAATTTGTTTTAACTTAGGAGAAAATCAGTGGATAGCATTTTATTATTCTCTTCCCTCACTTTTGATTAGACCAAAGTAATTAAGCAACAGGCCAATCCCACCGACTGGGTTTTTGAATCGAATCACAGGTGCTACATCCCCTTCAAGCATCCTTTCCCCATTTTTCTCAGTAACTGCACAAAGGGGTATCCCCCAGTGCTCACCACTTTCTCCTTCAAGGACAGGAGACTTGAGAATGTTTCGGGGGGGAGGGGTAGCCCCCAACCGTTTAGTTTTAGGTGAACTCTTCTTTAGAACTACCAATGATTGCAATTAGAAGAATGGAAGCATAAATTAAAAAAAACATAATTTCCACCAAATTCTTCATATTAATCATTGATCAAGCACGTGGACAAAATGTGTGACACTCCTCAAAAAATCACAAAAATTTGACATAAACAAGAAATAAGCAGCCAGCTAGGAGCTGCCCCAAGTTGATATTTCACATGCACTATAACCTAGATAACACCTAAGCGTATTTCTGGTAGGACTTATTTACAGCCCAAAATATCACCAAACAATTGGGGCCAGCCTGAGCTACAAAGTGAGACTTTGTTTTAAAAGAAAAAAAACAAAAAGCAAAACAGGCAAACAACCAAAACCCTAAATAACAGCAAAAACTCAGAATGATAAAGAATGGAGAATGAGCAAGAGAGACACAAGAAACTCTCGTTCCAAATTTTCACTGTCAGAGATGAAAAAGTGAAGTCTGACATTGCTCATGTTTTTTTTTTCCAGTACCCAAACGAGGGAGGATTTCTTTTTAATCATGAACAAATCCCAGATTTTCATATGCAAGACAGAAACCCTGCATATATCCTGGTGTGCTTAGTGATTCCCTTCGGTTCTGTGAACTCTGATGTCTGATGAAGCTCTCAGCGCTGACCTTGCCACTGGCTGGCTTCGGGCCTGTGCTGCATAGATTTTATGAAATGGACATTTGAAAGAAAGAATTTAGCACATCCATAACATCTTTCATGTTCATCGATCAAACAGCTCCATAAAATCCAATTAACTCATCAAACATCATAAACGATGAAGAACATACATAATTAGAGCTCACTATGTGGCCAGCCACTGGCAACGAAGGGTCAGGGTGAGGCTTAACACAAAAATAGAATTTGACCTTTCAGGTTTTGAAATTTGATGCTTTTACTTCAGTCAGCTGCTGATGGAAAACCTCTAAACCATGGGCAAGTTCTAAGAATTGTGAGTCTGGTTACAGGTACATGAAGAAAACATGGTTTCAATGCCAAGAGCCCATAATTAGACAAAGATTTGGGTCCAACATCGGAGTGATGATGTCAAAGGAAAGGAAGGAGGAGAATGATGCCATAGAAGTCTTCATGTGGTATCTCAGATGAGACCTACAGAACTTGTCATAAGAATAAATGGTTTAAAATTTGTGAAATGCTAATTCTATGTGCTGTCCTAGGATTCAGGGCATGGTACCAGGCTCTGGCCCTTTCTTGGGGTACCTGTATTATCTTAGGGTCACAATGACTTCAATGTGCCCTCTGAGAGCTGAGACACATAGGTGACTGCTTTCGTGCAGTTTCACCTCACATCGGTCTTCATACTGTCTGGACCTGCACTTTATGTTTATGTGAATATTACTACCAGTTTCATAGGGTTTTGTATTTGTAAAGTGTCTATATGATTTACAAAGAACTATAAAATAAATTTATTCATTCAGTTTCATGTGGGTATGTATATGAAGCAGGACATCAGAGGACACCTTGGAAATCGTTTCCTAGTGCTAGCTACTTTCCTCTTGACGCAGTCTCTCACTGGTATGGAACTCACCAGGTAGGTTAGACTGTGTGGCAAGAGAGCACCAGGGTCCTTTCTATCTTGCCTCTCCAGCTTTGTAGCTACCAGTACCTGCCACTATTCCCAGGGTTTTCCTGTTGCTTTGTTTGTAGGTTATAGGTATTGAAAAGAGGTACTAATGCATAAAAGGCAAGTGCTTACTGTCTGAGCCATCTTCTCAACCCATAAGATGTAATTTAATACATTGGTTTCTTACTTATTACATGCATCTTAAGACTTGTAAACCTATTTAGGCAAGAATTACATCCATCTTGTGACTTCTAAATGTATATATCCCTATTTCAAAGTATTCAAGTTTTCATGATACAATCACCATGTTCTAGCAAACAAAGAAAAATAGAATTGAAAATCTGAGAGCAGAGTCAAGGGGTCACTGGTACCTGCCCATCCCAGTCTAAGGAACAGTAGCAGGCAATCTCATCCCTAAATATTGCTGGTAGTTTTTCTTTAATTGGTGGGTGCTCTAAGAAAACAAGCACTAGTCTTATGTAATGACCTTTAACAGTGACAGCACAAATGTTAACAGTAAATGACTAGCGAAGTGAGTGTGGCATTTCTACCGCTCGAGATAACCAAGCATATGGTGCATAGACACTTAACTATATAAAGACTTACCAAACCATCACAACAACTCTGAGTTAAATATCTGTCTTTATCTCTTTTACAGCTTACTATAAAGTGCAAATATATTCCAGGGTCAGTAGGTGCTGCATGTGACTGTCCATCAAGCAGGAAAGTCCTTTTAATTCTAGAATTTGAACATTTTAGTTTTTAGAATTAAGATCTTTTCTCACATGGACTTAGTCTGACAAGAGATTATTACATCAGACATTAAACTATTGGTGCTCATCTCTAGCTTCACTGCTACTGAGATAACTAAAAAGGACCTAGATAGGAGAACCTTCTAGGTCGACCTCATTGCTGCTTATTTTGCTACCAGAAAAACTGCTTAGGATGTATCATGAGTCCTCTTTTTTAAGGTGCTTGTGTCAATTCTTGAGAATTAGGACTATTGCAAATATTATTTCTCATGAAGAGACTGAAGCACACAGATATGACCTAGCTGGCTGTCAATCAGTTATTGGGAGATATGAGAAGCAAAGTGAGGTTGGTTATTCTACAAATACACAAGCTACCCATATGGCAATGTGTATAGTGCTGTAGCCCACCTTATGACAAATTTCACCAATATAAAGATGATAAATCATCTAAACTGAAGAGTTGGGCATACAAATATATACTGATATCACCATTAACAATTCCAAAATTGGCATTTTCAAATAGTTTTTATCGAACATTGATACTACATTTTGTTTAACCATAGGCTCCATTTTTTGCAATTCTTGACTATAAATACATAATATTTTATAATAATCAGTACATAAAATAATGCCATTCTGAAACATCTAAAAGATATTCTAATCTTGAAATAGAAGGCTCTTTTTGCATGCTTGAGAAAAACTATTGAACTAACAGTTTACTCTACAATCATCTCAGCTGCAGTAAGTGTATAAAATTTAAAAAGTCGGAATAAAGCAAGCCTTTGTAGGTAGCTTATAATGTAACACACTATAATTTAGATAATTTACTGTGGATAATTAAGAAAGGATGACAATAGAGGAAGAGAAGGTCTATTGTGTGGATAGGAAGGAAAGACAGAAAAATAGAGAACTAAAAGAACTACCAAGGAAGCGCTGGTGAACAGTGTACCAAATATGCACACATTGCACTACACACTTCAAGCCTCAAGAATACAGTTCTCAGATATTTAATTAAGAAGAGTAAATTTAGGACATGGATATCCATTCGATTAGGTCCCCATTTAAGATTTTCTAATCTTTCAGATATTGTCTGTACTTCGATTATCATCAGCACAATCTATTATTATTGGTAGTATAGTAACCCCTTCCCCCAGCAGTGTAGAAGTATATGACAGTACAGACCAGACAGCGCTGAAGGTAGGTTCATTTTCATTACAAATGAACACATTTGAGTCACGGTCATAAACGGCATGGTAAATTTGAATAATATGATAACCAATCAGCCAGAACCTCTTAGTCAGTCATTAAATTGGTACAGGAAGCTGAATTCAGTTTTGCTATTGCCCTCTTTCCGTCATAGATTTTTTTGGTTTGTTATGAATGGATCAGCAGAGCATAGCATCTTTCAAATCCGAGTCTGCACTCCTCCACACTCCTCAGTACCTGGGGTTTATCCAGACGCATCCTCTTGGCAGCATTTCTCCTCTCGCTTTCACAGGCTGAGGCCAAGATACTCTCTGCAACTGCTGAAGTAAGGTGGGAAGGGATAGGTCGAGACTAAAAGAGAAGAGAGAAAGAATATGAAAAATTATTAACAGTATCATTCACAGACCACACGTCAGAAGAGCTCAGAAGACCACCAACATGGGCAGGAGAATCTATCGCAGTAGAGGAAATGAAAATCGTAAAGATGGAAAATGAGAGCTAGTTAGAGGTTAGAGCTACAGCTGCTACACAGACACGCCATTCATTCCTGTGCCTCCGTGGCCACAAGTACTTATCCGGAATAATTATCTTGGAGTATGAACAGGCAATGGCAAGACTGCTGACCATATTGCAAATCAAACATGCCCATTTAATTTATGAACATGACAATGCACAAAATTAACAGAACAAAAACAAACAACAGTGCTGTCACAAAACAAACAACAACAAAAACCTGACACCACACCATGCCAAAGAATCTGATTTTTTTTAAAAAAAAGTGTGCACTCATGAGTGTGTGTGTATGTGTGTGTGCGTGTGAGTGAGCATCATGTACATGGAGGCCACAGGATCACCTCAGATGTTGGTCTTCATCTTCCATTTTGATTGAGACGTTCTGTTGTTATCACTGTGTTTTCCAGGCTAGCTGGTCCAGAAGCTTCCATGGTTATCTCTTGTCTATGCCTCCCATCTCGTTATCAGAACAATATAATCATGGATGTTTGTTACCATGCCCTGCCCGTGAGCCAAACAATTGTAATGTAAATAGTGCAAATGCTTACTGAGGTTCTATTTTATGAAGAATATATATGGTTAATATACCTAGATCATTTCCTTCCTTAGTTAAATACAAGATAACACAGCCAGCCACACAATGATTTCTGTCTATCCAGTTTTTTTTTGTGAGATTATTTCCTGTGTGTTTAAATCCATGTTTAAATATGAGTTCATAGTAATAATTTTATAGGCACATGTTGGAAATATATCTTCTACATAGGCTACACAGAAATTAATTAATAGCCTAACTAAGCTAATTATAAAATGTGGGCAACTCTGCAGATCATTTATTATAATCATTAAAATGTTTTCTATTCTTTCACATAATTATATGCAAAAGCATCTAACTGAAAGATGAAATGCTTAATGATATAGCACATTTTTAATTAAGATAAGCAAATGATAGATTAAAAAACCACATGAAAATTAAGTCACAGAGATAATAATAAAATACTGGGAAATTGAAAAAATGCGTATCCTGGAAGCCGAGCATGCATTTTAGCATGACACTTCAGGGATTTCAAAGCCTCAGCACAAAATTTATATGACTACTTACTTATTTTTGAATTAAAAATATCATTGTGTATGGCCAAGCACAAGTGTATGAGTGCCAGGAAACACATGGAAGTCAGAAGATAACTTCCAGAAGCAGATTTTCTTATGCATTGTGGATTCAGCAGTTTGAACTCAAGTCACTGGACTTGAGTGTAAGTTTTTAACTACAGAACCATCTTGCTATCCTCACATGGGTATTGTTGATTAGAAATCTCTCATGTGGTTCAGACCTTTTTTACTTTGTCTGCAAACATGAACATGCCTCTATTGTATAGGTTCCATTTTATTGGCTTTTCCATATAAAATGTACTTTAAAATTGAGACACAAAGCTCACATTTGAAATAGTACTCTAGAACAGCTATAGAGTCCACCGTGTTTTAACACATAGAGGAAGAAATTTCTGCGGCATTGAAATAGAACAGCTCTTATGTTGTATGACCTAAAAGGGAACTTTTGGGTTTTTTTTTTTTTTTTTCTTCAGCTGCTTCCTTGCTGTTCCCACTTCCATATCATACTCGCTGGGTCAGAAGGAGGGGTGGCTCCAGGGTTTCTCTTCTGATCCTTCCTGTGTGCTGTCTGGAATGTTGGCTAGACATCTGACAATAAAGAACCATAAGGTTCAAAAAGTCACTTTTCTAAAATACAGAGACGAGAGAGATCCTGAAACAGTAGGGGCAATGATAGATGTGTTTCTGAGGAAAATTATGCCAGGTTTTTGCCTCTAGAACAGAGAGGGTCAAATGAGGCAAACCAAGATGAAAAGTTCATCCCAAAACTTGTATTGTTTCATTTCACTGTCTACTTCAAGTATGGCAAACAAAAAGTAGCATAGTGTCAAACATACATTGAACAATAAAATCAATCTCCCATTAAATTATGACCACTGCCTGGCAAAACAATAGAATTTAAACCGTGTGAAAACCTCATGCGTTTTGCTTCCTGCAGAATTTCCTTTGAGGTAAAGTTATAGTAGAGGGTGGAAGAAAGAACATTTTATTATGAAAAAGAAAATAAATTATTTGTTTTGTAGCTAGTGTTATTCATTTGGGGGTTATGAGTTCACAAAGGTCTATCTGCATTATTAGACTTTTATCTGGTCCCAGGAATGGAACTGATAAACTCAGTTCCTCCTTTTCTTAATCCAGTCAGTAGCAATCACACAGGGTACAGGCATACATACCTCTGTTCCTTGTCATCTTTAAAGTTCTCTTTGTTGGGTATCTTTATTCCAAATTGGATATAAAAAGTTATAAAATTCAGTAAGTTGATTGAATTTTACTAATGAGCATCCAAGTTTCTTAAATATGTGTTGAGTATGTTTTATTTCTTGTAAAAGTTTGTTGAACAAGAACAGAAAGTACAAGAAATATTTTTAGTTGAAATTATTCCATAGAAATTCTTTCTGTTCTTTAATTTAAAAGAAATTCAAAGAACTAAGCCAGAGCTGTAGCTTTCACTCTGAGAGTAAAAGTTGTATTTCATAAGAACTTACATCATGTTCTTTTGAGAAAGTCATGGGGATTGAGGGCTTTTTCCACATGTATGACTGGTCTGGTCAGGCACAAGGAGAGAGTTCTACCTGAGTGGAACAAGTTGTTCTTTTAAGGTTACCTGACAACTAAAAGTCTCAGACTTGGGGAGAAAATTAACTTCAAAATAAAAGCAATTATACTCTCTTCTAATGAGCGGGGAAAGAAGCAGACCTGCAGACACAAAGTTGATCCACAAACAAAAAATAGAATTTCTTTTATCTTCCCTAAGTTTCTTGTGGAACCATAATGTGACAGCCATAGATGGCCTTTGAGAAAAAGTCACAGGCATAGTTTGTTTTCCTCAGAAGTCTGAAGAAACTAGAAGCCAGATAGATTAATTTGTCCTAGGACAAACACCTACTTTTAGAAGTTAGGCTTCCTGGATTTCAGTTCACCATTCTTTCTTTCACATTGTATTGCAGTTAGCACTTCTAAATAATTAATGGTTAATGAAATAAAAACCTTATCTGCAAACTGATGTGCTAATTCAAAAATAAGCAGATAGAAGTCAGCCTAAATTTATACTATAATCCAAATTTACTCAAGATCATTGGACAGAAGAGAAAAGTGAATTAGCAATTTGCAATGTGAGATGTTTTTTAAGATCCTCAAGTCTCAAATGTATAATCTATGTGTGTTTCTAAGCAGAATCCTATGTCATGTGAATACAATTCTGAGATGACTCTCAATAATAATTCCTACTGGGAGCTTGGGATAAACATAACTTAATACAAAAAGCTTAGATTCATCATCTAACTTTCCAAGAAAGTTCAAGAAAGTTCAAGAAAAAGCATTTACATTATTCATTCTTTAGAGAAAGCCAAACCAAAGTTTGGAGAGAATGCATGACTTGTCCATCTCTGTTAATCATACAGATTCCCTGAGATTCAAACATGTATGATGGCAAATTGTAAATATAGTAAAGAATTATTTTCACCTGATAATTCTGGTGAGCTAATACAAACTGGAAGATACATCATTGCAGCTAACCTCATTCTGTTTCTAAACAAAGAATACATTTTGCAGCTAACCTCATTCTGTTTCTAAACAAAGAATACATTTGGACTTCTCTAACATCTTTATTTTGGGGTGATTTAAATCCTTCACTTACATTTCTCCACTAATTCTTGAAGGCTACGTTCTGCCACAATCTGAAGTCACAAATTTTCAGTGTTGCTGTATCCGGAGGGCCACTCAAACACTTCACATGAACCAAGTAGCTGGGCTCCGTTTCATGGCTGCAGTGAAGGCCTAGGAGGCTCTTCATGAACTAATAAGCTATAGAGGCCTTTGATTCTAACACTGGTGAGCCCATAGTAAAGGTCTGTATCCACTACATCACTCACCTAATGACAATATAGTTAAGGTAAAAAACATCAGCTTGATTTTTTTCTTGATGATTTGCCTTTTATTTATTTCCCAGCTCAGTTATGAAGAAGGTGAGAAGAAAATAAATCTAATATTCTGTGGTATTATGTGAGGGCACAATGGTACCCTGAGTCCTCTCCTCCCTTCTGTCATCAAACTTAACAGCTGAGGACCCATTCCAGTTTTTCTTCTCTAATGGTGATGTAACTTTAGAATACGCTGAGGGCTTTATTCATATTCTAACAACGGCAAAGATTAGGTTTCCCTCCCTTATTCCTAACACTGGCCATAAGTACAAATGTTTTCGTGTGGTAGATGAGTCATGACCAAAGTGCAAAGACTCTAAGGAAGAAGTTGTAGAAAACAACACCTCTCCTGGTGACTGTGGTTTTAGTAGACATACTATGTGGCATATGTATCTTAAAGGAATATTTCTGGCATTGATTAAAATGTCGACAAATGTAGCTGGGCAGTGGTGGTAAACGCCTTTAACTCCAGCACTCAAGAGGCAGGTGGATCTCTGTGAGTTCAAGGCCAGCCTGGTCTAAAAAAGCTAGTTCCAGAACAGGCTCCAAAGCTGCAGAGAAACCCTGTTTTGAAAAACCAAAACCAAAAAAAAAAAAAGAAAGAAAGAAAAAAAGAAAAAGAAGAAAAAAATTGAGACAAATGCTTCTGTGTGTGCTTATGTGTGTATGATTTATACCTACACCAGAAATTTGCTATTTCTCCCCCTCCATGTGAGCTAAACTCTTAGTAATTATCTCTTCATAATTAACAGTCATTCTCCACTGGATCCCAAGCTGAACTTTTCTCTGCACTGTTCCTACAGTCATAATTAT